ACAATGGCGGACTGATGACAGCTCACTCAGGGCGGGTCTAAGGTAAGACACCAGTCCAGTCTGTGCTGAAACGCTACTGTCAATCAAACTATCGTGGGAGGGGCCTGTCTTTGTGACGTCACACAGACAGGCATCTGATATCGTCTCGATTTGAGAAAGGGGTAAAGATTTTAGTAAATAAAAAAAAAAACACTGGGTGGATTTTTATCGTTATAGGGTGGTTGTGTACACACACTGCCAACACACATTTCAGTTCAAACAGCTTGTAAAAGTGCATGTAGCATCAGATGACCCCTTTAAAGAGGACCCTAAATCTACTTGGCTTGATTTAGAGGCTTCACAGTCACCTTGCCCTCTACAAAATCTATTATTTGTTAGAAGTTTTAAGGTAATTAGGGCATTATGTAATAACAGAATTGCATGTAATACGTGGCAGGCCTGCTCTATTATATGTGAGATAGAGGGCAGGGCTGACTTGTCTTCTTCTCTAACCCCCGTTTACAATAACCCAGAGTTTTTGCCTAGTCTCTCAGATTCCTTGGAACACTTGTGGGATATGCAGACTTTGTGATTTGTTTAATGAAGTTTCTTTAATGTCTTTTGAAGATTTGGTTATAAAATATAAGCTGCCCAGATTTAATTTCTTTAGATTTCTTTAAATAAGGGATTATATTTTTAAAAGTACTACTCTTGTAACTAACTCCTCCACGTCAGTTATAGAGAAGATTCTGCTGAATCCACTGTCATGTAAGCAGATCACGTACTTTTATAATGCCCTATGCTCATACGAAGTGGTGAACACCCAGGATCTTAGAAGATTGCACAGAGGAGGAATGGGAACTGGTCTGGAGTCAGGCAAATAAGATCTCTATTTGCAATAGAGCCAAAGCTATTCAGCTCAGAATTGTGCATAGATTCCATATCACGCCACTTCTTAGAAGTAAGTTTGACTCAAGCAATTCACCATTATGTGTTAAATGTAAGGTGGAAGTGGGAGATTACACCCATTTATTATGGAACTGTCCAGTAATTAGAGCTTATTGGTCAAAAGTTGTTATTTGTATGAGCCGTATGTTTAGACTTGAGCTACAGTTGGACCCCTTGTCTTTGATTTTAGGTCTCCCAGTTGGACACTTGCTGAACAAATTCAACAGTCGTCTATTTGAAATTCTAGCCTTTGCTGCCAGAAAAAATATTTTGTTGACTTGGATCAGAGACAAACCCCCATCCTTGAAAGGATGGCACAAGATTATTAGGGAAATGATTCCCTTAGAATTCTTAACTTGTGTTACTCATATGTCTACTGAAGCTTTTCCTCAAGTTTGGACTCCATACCTGGATTTTATCGATGTTTCTTTAAGTAATATTTTGAGTTTTGGTGTGTCATAATGCACTTTTTTTTTTTGTCACTAGCATTGTAAAAGATGGGCATTGTTTGTTAGTTGGTTTGGTTATGTTTATGTTATAAGTGGTTGAAATGTTGATAAAAAAAAAGTAAACTGCATTAATTGCATGGTTCGGGTGTGAGCAGCACCATCGTTTTCTCTTTTAACGAGTCTCGTGTCTCATTTGCGTGACTCGGTGAGCTGTTTTAGGATCTCTCCTCCTGGTTTTCTCTGGAGATTACAATCGCCGAGGTTAATGGGATTAGGCTGAAATGATGCAGGCGTACCGGCACGTATGCAGACGCTGCACAATCAGCATGCTTTAAAAAGGCCATAAAATCTTCCAGAATAGGGTGCAATATGGACCAAACATCATTGCTCAAGTTAAAAGTCAGATTGCAAGATTTGTTCAAATCATACTCCTCTAACATTAAGTCAAAACTTTTGATGTTACAGATGACTTGCGTACCTTGGCATCCCAATTCTTATTAAGGTAATATATGCATGTGATACATCTCCCATCGCCGTTTGGGTTGTCCACATGGCGCACATAACCAGTGCCTTTCCCCGGATAACACGCCACCATCGCCTGTGAATAAAACAGCCAAAACGGTCAGTTACACGCATTTTTAGTGCATTTTTGCTGTTTTAGTTTTCATATGTAAGCTTCATATCCCACACTTTTAATCCAAAAAATGTTTTGCCCTAAATACTAGTTTAAAAAAACATGTTTTGTTATTTATTCTTTTTATTAATAAATATAAATTCAATACATTTAAGTCTCTGCAAATACTACCACAATGTATAAATATTTTACAAGTTAAACGTTAAAAATTCCATCTATTTAACTTAATGATTAATGAGTTTAAATGGCTATGCATTACTATAATTTTTTCTTTTTTGTTTTCTCGTGATCAGAATTCGCAAGAGTCTGGAATTCAGTCAGAGAACGCGCGCGCACTCAACAAAACTGATGAGTTTGAACGATGACTCATCTGAACGCCTCTGATTGGCCATTGCATTCATAAGCTCAACATATATGTGTGTGATTGGTTAAAATGTGCAACACTGTAAAAACGCCTAAAATGAAATACGGTGCAACATAAGCAGATCTTAATTTAATGCCGCAATCGACATTGTCTATTCATATTCACTTTGTTAGCAACAGACGTAATAGATTTAATTTGTTTGTGCAGGGGCATTTCTGTCCAATTTAGTGGCATTTTTGCCCCAAGTCCCCGTGGCCAGCCTTACACACGCTCCGCCTATGCAGTTCGTCATAAATAGAAAGAGGCATCAGTTTACTGATGGGGATCGTGACGCATTGCACCGCGCCGCATCCAGTGTAGACAGCATCACTGGGCTCTATTGTCTTTTGTCGGATCGCGCCACTCGTGTCCGGTATAGACATGGTGTGAGTTGTTTTAATGGGTTATGTTATAGCCCTGCTTGTTTTTAATGTTTTTATGAAATATCTGTATTGACTGCATGATCATATCATCGTATTATTTACTGCCATGCGAGCCACAAAGTAAAGCTTGGCGAGCCGCGCAATGATTAACACTGTTATAGGTTGTTTTTTGGCGGGTGTGCTTGTGCTGCCGTGGTCTTGTTCATTTCGTAGGGCGCAAAATCTCTCTCACTCGGCAGCATGCCTCTGTTTGAGGTGCTGCAGTAAATTGGTCGTACTGCTACCTTTGCTAGCAACATACTTCAAACACACTTTGGGTGTTGTTTGTTCTGCGTCTGATGCCGCAAAACCGAACCAATTCCAAATTGCGGATGGCACTACTGTGCCTTTCTTGGGAACGTGTTCTTCCCTGCTCGCTGCAATGTTGTTTGTGTATCTCTATGGCAAACGCGCGGGAGGAGGGCTGAGCCCATTCGGAACTACGGAGCCCAGAGGGGAGCGTCGGCGGATGTTAAAAAGAAAACCAATTTTCATTCAAACAAGTCGACGTAAACTACACATTCGAGTTAATCGATAAAATCGATTTATCGCCCAGCCTGTACTGTATATCTCTCGTGAACGAGCGTACGACAGTTAGCAGAAGCTAGAGATTGGTTTATAAAGTTGTAAATATGGATATTTTTCTTACACAAACGCATCGCGTCGCTTCAGAAGGCCTTTATTAACCCCCCGGAGCCGTGTGGACTTTTTTTATAATGGATGGGTGCAATTTTTTGGACTTCAAATTTTGGGCTACCATCCACTCCCATTATAAAACATGGAATAGCCTGGACATTATTTAATATAACTCTTCATTGTATTTGTCTGAAAGAAGAATGTCATATACACCTAGGATGGATTGAGGGTGGGTAAATCATGGGGTAATTTTCATTTTCGGGTGAACTATCCCTTTAAGTGAAGCAACATTTGCTGAAATATCCACAAGACACAGTATAAGCAACCCTCTACATTGCGAGTAAATCACTCGCATAAGTGACTAAATATTCACTCTGGGTGACTAAATGATATCTAATATTAGCCAATGGCTAATAAATTCTCAGATTTTACTCGCCAGTGTGAGTTGGATGCTGAGTATATGATTAGCTCAGATATATTTTCACTCACAGAACACTCTGACTGTGCGCTTCAGAGTTTCACTCTCCGTCAAGCGATCTGTGCTATTTTTCAGTTCATCTGAATGGATGCGCAGCACACCTGTGTTTGTGTATTTGGCGTACCGTAAACTCTAGTGTGAAAGCACACGACTCGCCATCACTTTCTCTCACTAGCGCAAAGTGAGAGAGAGAGAGCGAGCGAGCGAGAGAGTCTTACATAACATGCAGAATTGACGCGCTACATGTAAACGATATTCTTTGTTGTATTTTTCCTGTCAAAATAACAGCGTTCCTTTGGAATTCTTCAGCTTTTAAGAACTGCCGGTTTCTCCGGTAGTGGGCGGAACTAATGCGCAAACGACAATTTCATTGGCTGGTCCTCACCTATCATCATCCCTGTTTTGATTTCAGCTAATTAGTTCGAGCGAATGCACACAACCTGATTAATATTCATGAATCCAGCAGCTCGTTAATCCTTACTGCGTTTTATATTGTTCTTATTAGTAGAATTCGTATAATAATAATATTAATATTATTATCTTATCAGTATTAGGGCTGTGCGATATGATGATATATATCAGATGGACGAAATAAAAAGTCTATCGTTTCATATTATGCTCTGTCGTTTATTTCGTGGTGTCGCAAAATACATTGTTTACGGTAATACATTTTCATCATTTGGATGACTGCGATCTTTACACGCCACCAGGGGGCGTGAAGGGGAGACAGAACCAGGTGAAGAACGAGCAGCCAGGACAAAACGAGGAGCTCGTTCCTAAACGAGGGACTACATCTGTAGCATGGACACGCGTTTTTAAGCACTACAGTTTTAAAACAACCGATTTTAAGCCGTTGAAACACAAACAACAGAGCTATATGCGTGCGCCATCTCTGTTTCTGTGTGAGCGGAGCGCGCATTTTTTTGCTGCTTTATTGGCTTTTAACGATTACATGAACACACTTATATGCATCAGAATCCCAGTCTTTGCAAGTATCCTCATAAACACAGTGATTTAGGTCTTAAGAGAGAGTAAACAGCTGAAAAAGAAAACGCATATGTAACAGTATATTGGATCCGGACTTCGGTCTTAAAGGGGAAGCTGTCCAATATTCGTCCTGTCTGCCATTCATATTAATCAAACAACAGTGAGAGAAAATCTCTCACTGCTCTTGACTGAATCACTTTTGTAACTTTAATAAGAAGAAATTAAAAAAAATTATAATTATATATTTATATAATTTTATATATGTGTATATAGAATCTATACTTAATACACGTGTTAATTATATCTATCTATCTATCTATCTATCTATCTAGATAGATAGATATAATTAACTAGGGCTGAGTATATATATATTGTTATACAATGTTTTTTTTTAATTCAATAAATTTAAGTCTCTACAAATACTACCACAATAAATAAATACAAGTTCAAATAAAAAAAGTCCATACATTGAATTATTAATGGGTTTAATGTTTTTAATTATTAAAAATACACTTTGTATTATTATTATTATTATTATTAACATATATTTTATTTTAGTTTATTATAATTTGAGTGAATAGGAAAAAAATATTTTGCTCTAAAAAAAAAAACAATACTACCACATTGTCTAAATACTTTAGGCCTATAAGTTAAATTAAAAATAAAGAACCTTCATAAATTTAATGTAATGAATAATGTGTTTAATGATTTTTAATTATTAAAAACGCATTTTTCTTTTCTTTTTGTTTTTTAAGTTATTATTTGTTTGGGTAAATACAAAAAAAGTATATATTTTCTTTTACAATATTTTATAAATTCAAATTCATTAGTCAATACAATTGCTACCACAATGTTTAAATCCTTCACAAGTTAAAAAAAAAAAAAAAAATACAGATAATAATTTAATGATTAATGAGTTTATTTTATTTTGTAAATATTTAAAAAATACACTTTTTATTCAATTAAATTATTATTTTTTTAAAGTTTTTAATTATTTGAGTGAATACGAAAACAGTTTGCCCTAAAATTAAAAAAAACAAACTATTTTGTTTATAAATTTATCTGAAAAAACAACAATAATTTGTCAGTAATACTTCAAACACTATCACAATGTATAAAAGATCCACAAAAAATAATAATTTTAATTTAAATGTAATGATTTTTAAATTATTAAAAATACATTTTTTAAAAAGAAAGTTAATTTTTTGAGAATTATTTATTTTCCATAAATATATTTATAAATAATATATATAATGCAATAAATAAGTCCGTACAACAAATACTACCATAATGCACTATATATATATATATATATACATACTGTATATATATATATATATATATATATACACAGTATATAATGTGTGTGTAACTTTTGATTGCACATGGGTGCAGCTCTCTACAGGACAATGAAACAGTGTAAGCGCTGGTCTTACACACTCCAGGCGGTCTGACTCTGAAGGCTGGAGCGGGCAGCTGCTGGGCAATTGTTTCCTGAGCATCACAACATTTCGTGCTTTAACCCTCACTGCCAAACCTCCACCTCCATGTGTGAGCGCAAAAGACAGAGATGAACTGATCTGAACCCCGGATTCTTGGCCTCCTGCCAGAGGAAGCGGTATTTTAATGATCCTGCTACGTGCGGTGCGTGAGGAGATGAGCTGGAGATGGCTAAACACTCTGATCTGTCACTGCTGAGAAAGTGTGAGGTCTGCCACACAAAAGGACAGGATACTAGATTAAAAAACAAAAACATGATAAATAATGGCTTTAGGTAACCTTCCTCCCCTGGTCAGGCCCTTCACTCACACTTCCCGTAAAAACTCCAGAAAATAAAACCACCGAGACCAGTTCAGCAGATAGTGTGTGCTTCCTCAAGACAGCTTCAGCAAACAACTCCAGAAATCTCACTTAGTTTGGTGGTTTTTAAATGATTCTGATTACTTAAAAAAAATAACAAATAAACAAACAAAAACCTATAAATTTTTTGGGTAATTATGAAAACAAAATCAACAAATTCTCAACTCCATACATTTCA